TTTATACTATAAAAATATAAAAAAATTTTAATATAATAATGTGAAAAATTTTTTATGTTTTTTTAATTATATTTCTAAAACAAATATTTTTATTAAAATTGTTTCCTATTTATTTGATTTTTAAAGAGATATTCTGGAATATGCAAAATTAGTTTGCAGTTATTTGATTAGAAAAAAATTTATTTTGTAAATTTTTTTATTTATGATTCCATTATATTTCCAACAAAAAAATTAAACCTTGACGCCAGGCTTCTTGGTGATATAAGCAAGAGGGTGCTCATCGTCTAATGTATGAGGGACTCCTATTATTGCAGCTTCTAATACTGCTGGATGTAATAGTAATATATTTTCGATTTCTCCGGGAGAGATCTGATAGCCTCTATACTTTATGAGTTCCTTTATTCTATCGATAATGAATAATTCTCCATCACCGTCTATATAACCGATATCACCTGAATGCAGCCATCCTACAAATATTCCAAGAATTTATTTTTGTGTAATTTGATAAAGATATTAAATATAATCTTTTGAATTTAATATAAAATACAAAATTTATATAGTAATATCTTTTAAGATAAATGTAAATTATTTTAAGACATTTTGCACGTACTAAGTAACAATCTTAAATAATAATTATTTTTAGACAGTAAAAATATCTTTACCTTCATTATCAATGATATTCTTTGTTGCCTCGGGATTTCTATAATAACCATTCATTAAGCTTGGAACTTTCATCCATATTTCTCCTGATTGATTCGGACCAAGTACTTTCCCACTTTCTGGATCAACGATTTTCATTTGCACATTCTCGACTAGGACTCCGCAAGATCCATTTTTATTATGTGGCTGCTGCATCGTTACAATACCACCGGCTTCTGTCATTCCTAGAAGCATAAGAAATATAATCAAAATTATATAACGCACGTTAATATATGTTGATATTGTATGGCATTATAATGTAATTAACCGTAATGTATTTACCGTAACATTGCAATATTTGAACATGCGGTAAAACATGCCTTAGATCTTCCTGCACTGTTGTTTTAAGTAATGAACCACCGCATTTTATAACTTTCAATGATGATAATGGATATTTTTGTGTATATCCAGATCTGAGAAATTGATTCAACAAATTCGTGGAAAGGAAAAGAACTTGTATCTAGATAAATAATAACATAATTTTCACTTTATTGTCATATTATGCCCACAAAATTAATTACAACATACTTAATGAATAGAGATAAATAATTGTAATACATTTTTTTTTAGTTATAATTTGCATTTATCTTGTAAGATATTAATATGTAACTTGCTATTAATTTGATAAAATGTAATTTGTAACCTTTAAATGTACGACAAGTATTAATAAAAAATTAATAGCATTGCTGATATTATAATTATTAGTATAATAATTTTTACCGCAAGTTAATACGGTAAATTATCATTTTAAAATAGAACATTATAATTTGTTTTAAAGAAATTGACTCAATCGAGAAGTATGGAGGAGAGATTGACTCAATGGATCTTTTATTATAGGAGGAATTCTCGAAGAGCAAATGTTATCATTGTGATTACTTGTAAAACTTAGCTGTCACAGAAAATCTGTAGTTATCAGTGAGATAACATATTTTAATTATCACATTTTAAAAATAGAATATATTAAAAAATTTAATTTGTTTACTTTAATTATTAAATAAAAGAATCTATCTATATATAAAATAAATAATATTATTACTTTATATTTTTCGATTAATCGACAAGTCATCTTCTCGTCGAATTCTGGATAGATAATTGCTTTGGTGCTTTGCATGATTCCAATGAGGTTCAGCATTATTCCACTCAACCAAAAAAGAGAAGAGAACCAAAGTGATGGCACGTTGGTTAAGTGTACCCAATGATGTTGCATTAAAGTTAACATAGCGTAGTTAGACAGTTCGACACCTTTCGGCATTCCCGTAGTGCCCGACGAATGCATAATGCATGCTATCTTTTTGATGTCATCGAGTTCAATGTAATGAAAATTTGTTATTTCTGCATCGTTACAATTTCTCAAGATATCAGAAAATGAAACCGCATCGACATGTTTGCCGAATATTACTATCATGGGATTGCAATTCTGCTTCTTTATTGCGTTTAAAATGACATTTATAGATTTCTCGCTACAAAAGATCATCTTCGGCGTCATTAGTTGCAAAAAGTACAGTGCAGTTTCTGATAACAAATACAATAAATAGTTCATACATAATAAAAAGATAAACGCTACGTTAAATAATACTATACAGTTTAATTATGTTTAGTTAACAAAATAGGTAAAATTGAATTGTTGTTATTGAAAACATTATTTACAACTTATTAATCTAATAGAATATAATATGTGAGAACATACTTAATAATCACAAAAGAACTTACGTAAGTTCATGTTCTCGTTCCACGGATTGAAGATCGCATTGATATAAGCTGCCGAAAGACAGGGCACAAAAGTATTAAGATGATTATCAGTGCATATACTAATAACGTCGCCAGATTTGATTCCTTGTTTTTGCAACCACAAAGCGCATCTCACAGCTTTATTTTGCATCTCCGCGTATGTGATTGTTTCTTCAGTACGTGCATCCAACTACATAGTAATATTATATAAAATTTTCAAAAATCACAAAAAATGACGAAAACTATATTGCAGAGACATTAGTTTTACAATTGAAAAAATAATTTATAATTCAGGAACATATATTTTTTATCAAAACTCTATATATATAACAAAATTATAAAAAATTTAAGTATTATGTATCTACAATTATTTGTACTTAAGTAACTTTTGTTCAAATTTTATTTTTCTACAAGTTAATTTCTCTCTTAGAAAATTATTATTAATATCCACTGAAATAATTTAAGGTATTTATTTATTTATTTATCTCATTATCTTTTTTATAAGATAAGATTTAGAACAATATAGTTTCAATAAAAACAGATTGCTGGTATAGAACTAACTTCGCAGTTATTTTAAATTTTAATTTTTTACTCACGCGTGCAATTTTATTCCCATTGTTTTTAATGGTAATCCAAATCAATTCTCCTAAACTTTTATAATTATTCAAATTACGCTTTATCTGTCCTTTGTAAACGCTGTTTTCCATGGTAAAAGTCTTGATGTAACAGATAGATATGACTATTTTAATTATATACCGCAATGCTTTTGTGCTTTGTCTTTATACGGTTTATAGCACTCATATGTTAACGAGTTTTTAAAGATAACATGAAAAAATTAATCAAAATTATCACGCTTGCTTATCTTTAAATTATCTCAATCATTTCACTAGAAATATTCGGATGTCAGATTATAAATGTAGATTCTTAAATATAATTAAAAAATATCACTCTATAATACAGGATAAATAAAACATTTTATAACTGTTATAAACTAATTGAAAGCAACTACTATACATATGTATGTATTATATGTACATATACATATATGTATATATGTAGAAGATATGTATATGTTTGTGTATGTTGGAGAAGATGGGATGAAATGCACATATAAAAAAATAAATAGATTTTTCTTCCAAAATAAATTTTAATTAAAATAAGACTGACAATATACTGATTACTATCAATCATTTTTATTATTTACTAATTTTTCTTAATATTATATTATATAATAGTAGAATTCTCTAGAAGCATTAGTCTTATTTATTGATAGAAATTAAATCTGCAAATTGTTTTACCAATAAATTTTATTATCAAAAAAATGGTTTTACTACATTTTTATGCAATCTTTTATCTTTATTCAATTATATGACTATTGATTTCATTGTAAAACTTAGTCATATGGAACACTTATAACGGAAAAAACATAATAGCACCAATAATCTTGAGAACAACTGCCACTCACTTAAGAATAAGGATTGAATTATGATGGAACAAAATATAACACTATTTTGAGCGTTCGTCTTCTTAAAACAGATATATGTATGTAATAATTACCAATTTGTATCGTTATTTATAATATGAATTTGATAAAAAGCTCGTGTAACTCATTAAAGATCCAGCTTCGATCATTATAGGCTTTAATATTCTTATTGTGTATTCATATTACGGTCTTAATAAAATCATTTATTATTGTTAATATAACTTATAAAAGACTTGTGATCAATAATAGGTATTAAAAAGTAGCTACTAACAATAAGAAATTATTACTATACGCAGTTGCCTTACAATTAGTAAATTATTGTAGACATCCATACATAAATAAAGTACATGATAGATTATCATTATTTATAAAACAGGTTTAAATTTATAGAAAATGCACAGTACCTTCAGTAAATATCAAAATATCCGTATATAATAAATAGAAAGCTCAAAAATTAAATAAAAATCAATATTAATGAAGATTTCATGAATAAAAAAACTTTTTAAATACACAAAGATTATTTTTTCTAATGAACATTCACCAAATAAGGAAGTACTTATGAACGTTGTTAAAAACTAACTGTAAGTCTTTATTGGCAATTTATTGCATACGTATTTATTTCTAGCTATCTATAAAACATTCTCCCTCCATCATAAACGACGTTGCCTGCAAATACTGCATAAATCATGAAAATTGCTGCATCATTATTATTAACATTTGTAATTTTAATTACTTCTTCTACTTTTATCTTTGAATTACTTGTAGTTTTTAAGTACAAACAAGTATTATAATATAGAAATTTTGACTAACTCTAAATATTACACAATGTACAAATATTAACGTTTTAAATATTTTATTACTGTAAAATATTTGAAACTTTATTTAAAATTCTTATTGTTAATTAAAATATTTTAGTTGCAATAATCTATCATAATATTATTATAAATTGGGGAGAAGGTCTTGAAATCAATTCCGACATTTAGTAAATTGGTGGCGAATGATTATTGAACATAATAATCTGTATTTTAAAGAATAAATGTCGATATTTCTGAATAAAGTTATATATAAAACTATCTTTGTATGTAAAAACTGAAGAATGATTGAATTTTAAATAAATGATAATCTATTATATGTTCTAAATCAAATTAAGATCATTAAATATTATGTCAGAAATATTAATCTTTATCTATACTGAGAAAAAAATGCTTCAATTAAAGTCTATATTACGGACTATCACTAACATAAGTGATTAATTCTTGTATATTTTTATTGACATAAAATTCTTGATTATTGAAATAATAATTTATGCCTTTATAAATATTTTATTTATCAATAAAAATACATGAATTAATCATTTATGTTAGTAACAGCCCGTATATAATATAGACTTTAATTAAATCAATAGCATTTTTTTCTCAGTGTATCAACTACAAAGTATCTGATGATACTTACGATTATTTGCTACTTGATAAGAATACTTTGATAAAAGAAGCTATTTTGAACTCTTACGTGAATATGTTTTATATTTTGACACGAAAATGTAGAGATAGGTTTTCTCTATCACATTAATAAAATTTTATTCATTATAACAACCAGTTGTTTAAAAAATCGAATATACTAAAAGCGTAAAAAATATCAATCTAATTTATCTTGTTGCCAGAATATAGTGATATAATATAATGTACATAATACTTTTGCTTAAAAATATTGATATCCGGTATATAATGAAAAAGAATAGATGATGTTGATTGCAATGGAAAAGATTCCATGACTATAAAGATTTTATTTACTGCGCAAAGATTATTCTCTCAAATGAATGAATAATTGATTAATGAGAGATTAATTGTAAACATTGTTAAAAACTGATTACATGCATCATTGATTATTTATCGCGTATGTAGAAATATTTACGATATCTTTTTTTTACAAATAATGTGTCTTGACGAATTCTTTAAATCATAAACTTGCTGCATTATTATTAGATTAATCAATAATATTCCTTATTTAATATTCTCTACTTATCTTGGGAAAAATATTTTTAAAATATTCTTAATATTTAAAACGAAATGTGTCTATTTTGTTATATTTTTTAATATAATAAATTTAATATTGTAGGTTTGTTTCGACTTAAGAGCAGGACTTTGGAATGGGAGTGATTAGAAGAAGTTATATATTAGATACGACGAAAGTGTCTATCTTATCTCATAAACATAAAATACAGATTTTATATCTAAAGGTTGACTGAAATGATTTGTAGTTGCAATGGTGCATTAGAATTATTTAACAATGCAACATGTGCGTGATTACCTCCAAATTACTTTCAACTTTTAATTGGCCTGTTTTGTTATTATTTTTAACTTTGTTTACTGATTCTTATTAACTTTCAAATATTATATTTCTTACTGATTCTCTGTTTAAATCAAAATTGTATTATATTAATGCGATAGAGAAACACTGTCTCTACATTCTCGTGCCAGAAACGGTACTATATTCTGCATATTGTATAGTTTCTTTATAATAAGTGGAACTTGAACTTGTTATATTGTGTATTCAGCTTATCTATTTATTAAATATAAAACGTAAAGAATAAAAATATAAACATTAAGTAATTTAGTATATAAAGATATTCTTTATTTGATTTATCAATTTCATACAATTCTCATGCTTTGGTTTCGTCTGAACGTCTGACCAATGATTGTTGCTGAGAATAATTCAAATAGGAGTCGAAAAATGATTTGCCTCCTGTAAATTTTTTCTTTTTCGTAATACCATGATGTAAGTAAAACTTAGAAAAAAAATATCTATGTCTTATGTAAGAAAGATATTTTATTATGATAACTTTTCCATTATTTCTTTTGCCATAAATACATAAACGCAATGCAAACTTGTCTCTTGTGCCAATAAATCCTAATTTGCCATACTGATTCATTGACTTTTGCAATTAGGCAATTATATGTATGTATACCTTCTTTATTGCAGAATTTGATAGGACTTTAAGCTCTTAATTCAGTCCATAATATATGCTTCAAAACTTGGAAAGTTACTTTTTAAAAATAATTCTTTGTCATTACTTGTGACTAAGTAAAAAAAACTATAATTATTATTAATAATACTTTTGACGCTTTCACGGATATTTTCTTCAGAGATGTCGAAAAGTTTACGGTTATTGTCATATCATGATTCAAAGTTAATGTTTTGTAAATCTTACTGTTCATTTCATCAGAATAAGCAGCACATTGATACTAGAACGCACTGATAAGTTTATTAATGTTTAAATATAACTTGTTCTGAAAAAAAAATAAAAATAAAAATTAGATTGACGTTAATTAGATACGTCGATAGATGTATTCAGTAGTCAGCTAATTATAAGGCAAGTGCGCACAGTCAAAGTTCAAGTATGAAAAATTTTGTAATCTTGCATTTTGATTGCAGTTTTGAAAAAACATAGCGTGATTATTGATATGTTGCTTTTAAATGGTTATAAACACTTTTAATGCTATATCATTCAATTTCAGTTTACATGTACATCAAATATGATCTAAATTCTAAATGCTATTTTTTTTTTAAATTTTTAATGCATCCATCTAAATATTCGAAAACGTCTTATACATTTTTTTAATGTTGAGAAATTTCTATTTTGAATCTGACCATTTCAATTTTATACTCAGCAAAATATTTAAAAAAACTCAAAATTCAGATAGGCTGTATACATAATAAGATCTGGTTACTTTATGTCCATATTTTTTTATTTTCTTTTTTTATACATTTTTAAATATTGTTCATAATAGATTGCAAATAATAAAAAAGTAATTTTATTTCGTCAATTTTCAGTATTTATTTTGTAATTATAGAAAAAACTTAAGTATATACAGTACAATATAGACACAATAAGAAGATTATATATGTTTGTTAATTAAAATAAAACTATTTTTACATATAAAAAGAAAAGATATTTTTTGCTTATTTATAAAACTGCTAATAATTCACTTTTATAATACATATCATTTTGAAATAATGCACGATGCATACATAGAAATTTTATATTATTATAAAATTATTTAATTTTATTATATGTATATGTCATTTATTATTTTAAATTAATTTTTATCACTGTGCTTTATCAACTTCATTGCCATTACTTTCAAATCTTTTCTCGAAATTTTTCCTGAACTTGTATATGGAAATTTATTCAGGAATATCATTCCTCCACGTAGTTTACAATTATCCATCATATTCTTTGCTACAAAGTCTATTAATTCTTGTTCCATCACCTGTACAAAGAAAATTAAATTAATGCCAGAAAGATCATTCCAATACATAAAAAAAAATTATTTGTGATTACAAATAATAATTTCTTATTTTACATTAAAATGTAATGTATAAATATAATGTATAAATGTAATATACGTAATGATATTCTCTCAATATACGTAATAATGTTTAATTCAATTTATTATTTAATAAAGGAAATAGAAACTTATATGTTGGTTATATATTTAAAATATTAAAAAACATATTAAAATGATAATTTTACCATTGTCTTTAATTTATTTTTAATTTAATTATTTCATTGTGTCTCTAAAACAATATCTTTACTTCTATACAAGACATTCTATTCATTAGATTTTTAATGAAATATCTCGGAATATGTTAAATCAGTTTGCAATTATCAAATAGATTTTATTTAGTAAATTTTTGTTTTACTATACTATTATATTTTTATTTAAAGAAATTTAACCTTAGCGCCAGGTTGCTTTATTACAAAAGCAAATGGATGTTCGTCATCTGTAGCATGTGGTATTCCTATTACTGCAACTTCTAACACTGCTGGATGCGATATTAAAACATTCTCGATTTCTGTAGGAGAGATTTGATATCCTCTGTACTTTATGAGATCTTTTATCCTGTCTACAATAAACATTTCCCCATCTTCATCTATATAACCGATGTCACCCGAATGCACCCAACCTAAAAATAATTAATATAATTATATTAGTATATTATAATTAATATAATTATATTATATTAATTATTACATAATTATTATGAACAGAATCTGTTTACCATCCTTATCAATTGTATTTTTTGTTGCCTCGGAATTTTTGTAATAACCAGTCATTATAGATGGTAGTTTCAGCCATATTTCTCCTGACTGGTTCGGATTAAGTACTTTGCCGGTTTCTGGATCTACAACTTTAATTTGCCCATTCTTAACTATTGCCCCGCAAGATCCATTTTTGTGATTTGGTAGTTGAATTGTTATAAAACTACCCAATTCCGTCATTCCTAGGAACATAAAGTATATAGACGAAATTTTTTACATTAAATAAATATACATTACTAGGGAATTCCATTTTATATATTACAGCTCATTTTAATATCTTATTGCATTAATAATGTTTACCGTAACATTGCAATATTTGAACATGTGGCAAAAGATGTCTCAGTTCTTTTTGCACTTTTGACCTAATTGGTGCACCACCAAACACTACAGTTTTCAAAGATGGTAATGGATATTTCTGTATGTAACCTGATTGGTGTAAACGAGCCATCATGTTTGTACTAAGGAACACAGTATCTATCTAAATAGTAAAGTAATAATTTATGGTTTTACTATATTATGTCGAGATATAATGTAAAATTTAATTGCATACAAATATAAAATTATTTATAAAATTTAAAATTAAATAAGTAAATATTATTTTTATTTAATTATTTAATATCTAGCATTAACTAAATGTAGAAATAAATAAAAAAATAATTTATTACTCGCAACATTAGTAGATATGAGACTAGTAGATTATGTTACATTCTTTTTAGAGTTTTATAGTTAGCATTTATTTTGATTGGAACATTTTAACATCTAATTCAATACTCATTAAAATGCTTGTAATTCTTAATGGTACGACAAATACTAACAGAGAAAATTAAGAGCATCTTATTAAAATAAATTTTAAATTTTATTGTAATAACTTTATTATAATTATTATTATGAAATAAATTGACTTAATTTTATCACAGAAATTACGAGTAATTAAAACAAATATTATAATTGTTTAAAACTTATGTAGTTTAGATAACGTATCTTATTAGTAATCACTCTTTTTAAAATAAAAAAATTGAAAAATTAAAATTCTTTTACTTTAATTATTCGATAAAAAAATTTTTTACAGAAAAATAATATTACTTTGTATTTCTGTATTAATCGGCAAGTCATCTCCTCGTCAAATTCTGGATAGATAATTGCTTTGGTGTTTTGTATGATTCCGCTGAAACTCATTAGTATCCCAGTAATCCAATAAATAGTAGAGAACCAAAGTGATGGCACATTGGTCAAATTTAATTCATATTGGAGGCTGATAAATAACATAGCGTAGTTAGACAGTTCGACACCCTTTGGCATCCCAGTAGTGCCCGAAGAATGCATAATGCACACTGTTTTTTTAATGTTATCGAGCTCGATATAACGGAAATTAGTCACTTCCACATCGTTGCAATTTTTTAGGATATCGTAGAATGAAACTGCGTCGACATGCTTACCAAAAACCACTACCGTAACATTGCAATTCTGCTTCTTTATCGCGCTCAAAATGATATTTACAGATTTCTCGCTACAGAAGATCATCTTTGGCATCATCAGTTGCAAAAAGTACAATGCAGTTTCTAATATAACAAATAGCTCATAAATAAAAAATAAATAATAAAAAAACGTTAAATAATATGATTAAATTATATTTTATTTAACACAAAATAAATAAAATTGAATTATTATTATTAGAAAGGTATTATTTTTAATGCCAACTGATTTGATTGGTTGTGATATGTGAGAACATTTGATAATAATTATCGCGCAATATAACTTACGCAAGTCCATGTTTTCATTCCATGGATTGAAAATCGCATTGATATAAGTTGCCGAAAGGCAGGGCACGATAGAATTAAGATGATTGCCTGTGCACATACTGATAACATCGCCAGATTTGATTCCTTTTTTTTGTAACCACAAGGCGCATCTTACAACTTTATTTTGTAACTCTGCGTATGTGACCGTTTCTTCAGTGCGGGCGTCCAACTGTATATTATTATAAAAATGTTTTAAAATTACAAGAAATTAGTTATGTTGCAGAGTTATTAGACTTGCGATTAAAAGAACAGTTTATAGTTTTGGAATATCAATTTTTTATCAGTAATATATATATATATATATATAT